ATCACACAGACAATTTTGTAGACCCCATGACAATCTCATAAACAAGGAAGCCATTATCTTGATTTTCACCCATTTGTACCAAGTTCCTTGGGTGAGAGGCCAAGGATACACAGCTGGTTACATGTTGGTGGTGGGACAAGAAGGGAAATTGTCAAGCTCGTAATTTTGTGAGCTGCCTCTTTATTTTTATTGTTTCCAAACTATTGCGGGAAACATGGGTGTATTGTTAGATTCTGGTAATTGATCAAATTGGTAGGCTTCTATAACTCAAATTAAGGAGATCCATGAAAGTAACAATCATCAAAACAATTTAAAATTAAGCAACAAATCTCCACTTTACAGCATGAAAATTTCCCAAAGTCCCAGGGATCTCTGTTCCTTTACTCTGAATTTGTGGAGTTATAATTTAGATTGCATTCTTCACCAGGAATTTATATTATTATGATATCTTTTTATGTGGTTGTTGTTTGCTCAAAGACATGCTTTCTAGCTCTGGCTTTGCTACCAACTGGTGGTACAGCCCGTGATCGGTCATTTGACCTCACCCTGCAGGCATTACTTCCTTTGTCTCATGTCAATAGTGACTTCAGATGGCCCACTGGCACTGCAATTTTGTGATTCCATTTCTCCAAATAAACTATAAGCTTCCTGAGGCAAGAATAACACTTACTTGCATCTTCTAGATTTGCCACATTGTAGGCATTTAATAAATGTTTGATGATGGCATTGAAAGACTTATTGGCAGATTTAACTTGAGTGGAGTTATAGGAAATCATTGTTGACCACCTTATTAACAATTAACTGTCTATAATCTGATATGTAATTTTCCTTTACATCAATAAAACTTCTGCTCCTGGTGAAGATAAAGTATTGCCCCTTCACATCAGTTCTTTTGCATGTTAATACATTAGCTACTGATATCTTATTTGTACTATAACTGACAGAATAATGTAGAGAAAGCATATAAGTAGGAAAAGAGGTTAGTTAGGTAACATTGTATAGGGCATCTTCAAAACAACAGTTCTGGTGTTTCAAATGTCAAGCTAATTATCAGCAATGTTTAAATGCTATAATAGGCCACTTTTGCAAATGCTGAAATCTTCCAGCAGGTATGGACATTATAAAAATGTCACACTTAGCTATTCTTCTATTACATGTCACTAGTACAAAAATCTGAAAATAAAAGTTATAGCTGTAGACAATAAAGAGAAACTATTATTTATTTTGCATATGACTGTAAAATTAATTGTCATGGTGATACAATTTAGAGTATTGTTTACTTGGAAGAGTACAGAGGATTTAATATAATGTAATCTGGTGAAGTGAAAATAATGCTTATTATAGATCAACTATGCAGCCTTTTAAATATAGGCTTTCAGTAATGCATATTCAGATATATGTTTCCAGGCCCATTTGCTATAAAGCAAATTTAAGTATCAGCTTTTATACCCTTTGGTAACCCCATATTACACATACAGTTTTAGAGAAAATGAAACTTTAATATAATTCCACATAAAATGGTGAGCCATGCCAATAACTCATATGCACTTCATATGCAAATAGTTTTATCTTATCCATCAATTATCATGTAAACATGGTAGCACATGGCAAATTTCCCTGTAATACAGTACCGTACCTGTATATAATTATGGTTGCATTTTAGCAATGCAACTGTTACCCAGAATTGTAATTAATTCCTCTGAAGATTACTGTGAGAGTTTTGGGTACTGATGCTGTTTTTGGACATTTATTACTGCTCTTTAGTTGGCTTTTTGCTGTGCCTCAGAGACAGATGTAAAATTAGTGTCTATTTTGAGCCAGAAAACAGTACATCTTTCCTCTTGTTTATTGAATTGCAGAAAGGAATTCTTTGGGCTCCCACTTCTTTGTGGTTTTTGAAGTAACTGTCTGTTTTTGTGCCAGCCATGTTGCTCCAATATATGTGTAAAATTTTGCTGAGACTCACATTAGTGTGGTTTACTTGACCTGATGTAAAGACGGAATACAAGCTGCTATAGTCTACAGGAAGAGGCTATGCTTCTGAAGGCTGAGTATGTATTGTGAGTTCAAAATTAGACCCTAATCTGATATATTCTGTCCGATGACCCTCACTTAAAACCAACATATATTGGTTATTATCCGAAATTGAACCTCTTGTTTGCAGCAACAAGTTAAGCTATGGTATTAAGATCTCGTACACCAATGGTAATGATGGTGACAAAAGGTCAAAACAGGAACAAATGGGAAAATGAACCTATATTCATTCAATAATGTAGGAGTTAAGCCTATTATGTACTGGCCATTCCACAATAAGAATATTTTGTGGCGAAAATTTTCCCTATGCTTATACTAGGGAAATCTACTGACTAGAATTGAGAGAAAAATTTAGAGGTAAATCCTGGAAATTTAGAAGTTGGGAGATGGATTAGAGGTAGGGAAGGGAGTGCAATGCCATTATCAGTGGACTTAATTTTCACAGTCAGGTGTCACCTGAAAGAGCAGAATGAAATACTCTCATCTGAACCCAGATATTAAAACTAAGTTTGTTGTGTATTATTTTATCTGGTTTAACAAAAAAGAGGGAGGATGGTGGCATCCCAAATAATGGCTTGTGGGAGTGAATATCCTCATTAACCCAGCTCTGGAAAGATGGCATACTGCTTCTGTA